TTGAGGATCAGCCTGGCCCCCCACAGCTGCTAGGTGGGTTCCGACCAGCCAGGCGGGGACAGCCCACGGGCAGCAGCCACGGCCGCACCTCCTTGTCCGAAGGAGATGAAACACCGCGGAGCCCAGCGCCTGGGTCAGCTGGGGGCCGGGAGACAAGAGCAGACGGCGAGGCGGCCCCGGAGAGCACTGAGCCTGGGGGCCTGGTCCCTTCGCTGCAGCCGCTCCCGGGAGGCGGGTCCGCGCTCACCCCCAGGAGAGCCTCCGGACCCACAGAAGAGTCGCAGATCCCAAGCAAGGCCAGTGCCCGGCTCAGCCACGTCCACACAGATGGTCACTGCCCTCACGTCCTCAAGCCGGGTTCATTTTTAACGACTTTAATCCTCCCGTTCACAAGCATGACGTGTTTCTGCGTTTATTTTTTACTTCTTTATAATGTTTACTAGAGGCCTGGTGCACGAAATTCATGCACGGGTAGCGTCCCTAGGCCTGGCCGATCAGGGCCTTCCGGCTGCTGGCCGGCCCTCTCCCTTTGTTCCGCGCCGCCCCCTGGTGGTCAGCTCACATCATAGCGAGCGGTCGAACTTCCGAGAGGACAATTTGCATATTAGCCTTTTATTATATAGGGTAGTCTTTTCTAAAGGTTTTGCACATTTTTCTGACTTATTGTTATGCTGTTGTAAACACTTTTAAAAATAATTTTTCTCCCTAGTTGTGTGTTGTTTGTATATAGAAAAGCAATTGAATTTTGGGTGTTGACTTTGTATCCAAAAATCCTGATGCATTCAGTTACTAATCCTAATAATAGCTTTAAAAATGATTCTGTTAGATTTTCTACAGTGACTTTGGGGCGTAAATAGTGACAGTTTGTTTCTTTCCAAGCCTCCCTGGTGCTGGGCGCCGGCGTGGTGGCCGGGGGGGCAGGGGGGAAGGCCCCGTTGCCCCAGCTCGCACAGTAGGTGCTCATATAGCTTGTTGCTCGAGTATTTCGGAATCTAAATATTAAGCGAGGGATTACGTTTCTTCCTTGTTAGCACAGCTATAAACGATTCCCTTTGGGACGTGTGATTGCACGGCGCTCAGCACGGCCTGTCAGGATGCTGAGTGTCCTGTTCAGAGGCCAGGATACGGGGACCAGGACGAGCCACAGCCGCTCGTCAGCCCCCAGGGACCCGGCTAAGTGGCCGGCTCTCTGTGCTCTGGACCAAGCCCTCAGCCTGATCCCCCTGTAGAGTATGGAGGTTGGTCCGGCCGGTGTGGCTCAGTGGTTGAGCATCACCTACGAACCAGGAGGTCACGGTTTGATTCCAGTCGGGGGCATGCAGGAGGCAGCCGATCAATGATTCTCTTTCGTCATTAATGTTTGTCTCTCGCTCCCTCTCCCTCCCTCTCTGAAATAAATAAAAATATATTTTTAAAAAAGACTAGAGTCTGAGGTCATCTTTTCTAGGAAGATTTCCCTGACCCTCCCACCTGCCTCCCTGCCCTCTTAAAAAAGAATAAAATTTTTTTTTAAAAGTGTGAGGTTGTGCCCTAACCGGTTTGGCTCAGTGACTAGAGCGTCGGCCTGTGGACTGAAGGGTCCCAGGTTCGATTCCGGTCAAGGGCATGTACCTTGGTTGCGGGCACATCCCCAGTAGGGAGTGCGCAGGAGGCAGCTGATCGATGTTTCTCTCTCATCGATGTTTCTAACTCTCTATCCCTCTCCCTTCCTCTCTGTAAAAAATCAATAATATGTATTTTTTTTAAAAAGTGTGAGGTTGTCACCAAGCGCCATTTGCTGTATTAGCGGGGCTGTCTCGAGGCCGGGGGAGGGGCGTGGGGGAGGGAGGGGCCAGGCCCTCGCACAGCCTGTCCCACAGCCGACCCTCCGGCTGATCCCCGCCTCCAGCTCTGACTTCAGAGCTGCCCCTGAATGACACCTGCCCCGTTGGGCCTGCAGATGTGGTGCCCACAGACAATGGAATGTGACAGCAACAGGAAAGCGTGAAACCTCACACTTGGGAGCATGGGTGCAGCTGGGGGCATTACCCCGAGTGAAATGAGTGAGTGGGAGAAGACACTGTGGAATCCAAGGAAAAAATGAAAACAGAACAAACAAAAACCCATAGGCACAGAGAACAGACCGATGGTTGCCAGAGGGAAGGGGGGTTGGTGGTTGGGTGAAAGTGAAGGGTTAGGCTTTACTGTTAGGGTCAGGGTTAGCTTTTAGGGTTAGGGTTAGATTTCAGTGTTAAGGTGTTGGAAGCCACCCATTGTCTTCACTATCAGAGAATGTAAACAAAGAGCAAAAGCTGGTGAACCTTGAGCCCCTGGCAAGGGCCAGAGCTATGCACCGATTGTTTA